TCATTCAGTGGAAAATAACAAATTTTTGTGCTTATGTTTGTCCCTTCATGGCATATATATAAATATTTATTAAGAAGAATATCGCATTTCTATTTTAGACTCAGAACAGTTAGTACACCATTATGATATTTTAATGATTGTTATACAAGTTTAATTCTGTTTTTCGTTGTTTGTGATGTCAAAATGTATATATTTTACCATTGTGCACATGGAGTATAGTGTTGTTATTTTTATATAAGGATCAAACTGTAAGTGTTTTACAATTAGTAATTTCATTTACTTAAAGTGTTTCATTTACTTACAATAAGCTTTAAATATTATAGTCATATTCCACTGAATGAAAGTTGAGATGTTGAGCAAAACGTATGGATATCTTAGAAATTGTTAAACAATTCGTACCATTACAGTAACCATTCGTACAATGGTATTTAATTTTTATTGTGTAGCTCTCGATTTTTTATACGAATTTACACACACACACACACACACACACACACTACATATATAATATATATATATATATATATATATGTATATATATATATATATATATATTGATAGTTTTATCGACGTTGGTACATATTTGAAGTATTTAGCATCTCAATCGTCGAATTGAAAAAGAGGGTTAATATAGAAAAATTCTTTATTAAATTTTTTTTATTAATTTGACGATTGGGCTGCTAAATACTTTAAATATTCACAATTCGCACATTTTAACAAAGGCTTGTCAATTTAAATATTTCAGTTTTTACTATGTTTTAAAAATCTGAGATAAACAAGTAAATTGAGGTCTTTTTTTGTTTTTATATAAAGAACAATAAGTATATAAATCTACTATAATGAGTGTAAATCTTCCTGTATATTTATGCATATTTCTAAAATCATAATATATATAATTGGATTATTTATTACTTTTGAAAGATTTTTTTCGCTGGTCAAATTCGTAACCGTGTTATATTGTTTTGATTCATATTAATACATGCATCTAATATCTACGAAGATAATCATCGAATGAATAGATGAATACAGATATAAAATTGCATTGTATAATCAAGTAAATATAATCTTTATCGTATCATAAACTCCTCTTATGCAATGATTGTTTTACCATTAGACGTTACTCGGCCTCACAATCGCAATTTCCAATTTGTCGTACGATAAATAAGTAGCGAGCGGACTAATTTACCAGGGCTGGGTCGAATCAAAACAGACAAAGTACGCGAAAATTATATTAAATTTCGGTTTCAAAAATTGTTTGCGCGGTGACCGACGAAGCTCTTCATTTTCATTCAAATTTAAGCAAAAACTTCTGAATCCATTTTAAAAATTCAAAAACGATTCGAACGATATCATTTGGGAATCGTGCTAAATAGTTTAGCCCTACAGCAACTTGGTATACTTATAAATTTCTCTTAAATTAATATATTGAGTTCTTAATCTTAAGTAAATCTATTATTTACACATGTCGAAAAGTTTATGCAAGTTGGCTTAGGGTTAAATGCCATTTACGCCGAGTTTATTTTTATTTCGTATTTCTCCGTTGAAGTAGGTTTCGGAACGTCTATAATAAATCTCACTTTTTAAAACATTTATTATTTAGAATTAAACATATCAGTGCACTTAAATGCGTACTTCAAAAATGGTTCACAATGAAACTGGATAATATTTTTGCATATTTTTATTTCAACGTAATACCTACAATAAAATTCAAATATATGTCGTACTCTACTATTCATTTGCTCACATACATCTTATAATATTATCCGTTTAGTGACCTTTATCGTGACAAGCTTGTAATTATTTATGACTTTGATTTATTCAACTGTTTTTCTCTTTGTTTTAGAGAAGCTATAAATGATTTTAATATTGTATATTGCATAACTGTAATCCTTCGAAATATTGTTACTTTGTTATCAAAGAATCATTTTGCTGTTCGAATGATTTAATTCTAGGATTTTTATAGCATGTGATCAAGGAATGAATACAAATCTTATACTAAATAGTTATTTGTCATTTTGATAATGTATAATTAGTACTTTTGAGAGTTTTTGTACATGCTCAATTAATGCACGTCATAGGACCTTAGATTTACATTTCAAATATCACTATATACGAGATATACAGTAATATACAGAATATACTCGTAATATACAGAAATTTTAAATATATTCTATGTAACGAAAGTAGGCAGTAAACCGCTTTAATTCTCCTTGAACCTCATTATAAATGATTTTGAAATTAATAATAATAGTTTTTGATCTCGATTTATATTTGGTGTTACAGCTCGTCCGTGGATTAGTGATTAGAGCTATGGAACTTCAATCAGAAGCTTCAGGTTTAATACCTGCCTCGGACAGCCCGATGTCAATGTGTGATGACATATGTTTGCCATTGATAAAAAATCAACATTATTAAAAATATTTGGTGTTTACGTCCGTAAAGAATCTGAACCGCGATTTTTACAAAAAAAATTTAATTTTATGGAATTATGCCATATACAAGAGAATTAGTAAGGTGTTATTCTAAAGCAGCCATTGCCGTGAAATATTAAAAATTAACAATAATAGTTAACGGTATATATAAATACATTTAAAAACGCTAAACCAGATGAAATTTTAGTTTTCAACAGTTTTATTGCACTTATTTTATTGTATATTATTTTAGTATTTATATTGCTTTTGCACACTTAATATTTGAATACGTATTAAAATAAATTTATTAATAGGTTAAAGAGAATTAATGCGATATGTTGTATGAGTTTCGAAGAATATATAACGATTAAAAACTATTTTAACCCTTACATTACGAGAGTGTTTTCCGCAGAAGTGAAACTGGTGTACGAGCCAGCAAGACCTCCAATTATTTGTTACTTAACATATTTTAAGATTTTTCAATCATCATCCATAAAAATGTATTTGACAATTAAAAATTGCACTTGTACAAAACTAAAAACCACAATAATGAAATAGTGTGATGAATATTGAGCAAGGTTCGTTGTCTATAGGCGACACTCGTACACACAAGTTGCCAAGCGGATGTCGTCTATTGGCGACGCTCGTAGCAAAAGGGTTGAAATTCATATATAAATCTACAAATATTTCAAAAACACATCTTAAAAACAATTTTAAATAAACTTTCATAAGAAGCAATGAGTGAGAAGCAATTTTAAATTTAACAATTTCTAATAAATAACATAGTTTATATATTATTTTGACGTATAGTAATTCAATATTTTCATGGTGTTATATATTGATATTTAATAGCTTGTTACATTTATTATTAACTTTTATTTTATGGCCACCGCCATATAATTGTATTCAGTTTTGTTTCGTTTTTCGAATATAGATCTATATTGCCTGGACTTCAATAATGACTTTGGAAAATGTGATTATATTACAATAGGCATATATATATATATATATATATATATATATATATAAATATATATAAAGTATAAAGTATAAGAATACATCACGATTCTGGTTTTATGGGTCATTTCAACGGCTTAAATTAAGTTTCAGTATTTCTTATATCAACCAGGTAGTATTGATCTATATATTCGAATGTTTAAGCGAATTATTATACATGAGTCGTTTTTAAATTCAACAATTTTTATAACATGCGTGGAATAAGATAAACCTACAAATAACAAGATTAAATACTAGTGTGGTTTTAATTATTCAATGGTATTTTCAACTCTTGCAATAGTATTTTTCGATATCCGACTATCATTTGCCAACATTTGTTAAATGATTCAATGTTGCCAGGACCGAATTTCGCAACATTAGAATAGTTAATCAATTTCTATTATTATAAAGAAGTTTTTGATGCAGTTTATTCACAATTATTTCTTCAGTGAAAACGAGTTTGAAGTATGTAATCATTTTGCAAGCACACAAATCTTGAGTAAAATTTTCTATTATATTTTGCGTTTACACATGTCGATTATTCTAATTTGAATTTTTTAGTATTGGTATATATTCATTATTATTATGAAACCAACAGTTTTTATTTCGCGAATTGTCTAAAAGTGAGTTATTCGTATGATACAAAAAAACATAAACGTGAATTTAAACTTCATTTTCAAACTAATTGTGATATTCATATGAATTTACTAATACAATTATGTAATTTTTTTTTGTTTATCTAAAATGTTTTAACCATAGTTTCAGATAATATTGGCGAATTTTAACTTGTTTTAAATTTTTCTATACTTTATAGAGTAGGAACCTTATAAAAGATTATTATTTTTGAAAATGCTTAGAGGTTTATACATTGGTTATTCTGCTCTACCCTTAACAGTGCATATTTGATACTAGTTTTAGTTACACGAGTTGCTGCAACAATGAAACAAGATTATTTTAATAACCACATACTCTTTTATATGTATATATATATATATATATATATATATATATATATGTATAATTGTATATATATTTGTATATATCGACTTAGATACTACTCTAACATTGTTGACAACAATTTGTTGTGTATGCATATACGTATTTGAAAATTCTACATATACAAATTTTATCATAGTAAAGAAGTTAACACATTAAATATTTATAACATTAAGTAAAATATGTTTTTCACACATGTAAAGCCAATGTCAGAAGGTGCATTTCATTTGATCATTGATTGTATTAGAACATAATAAAACAAAAACAATTGAATTGATGATTGCATGTATATTTACAAGAAGTTGTTGTTTGTTTATGGTTTGTCGTTAAACATAAACCAATGTGTAATTTTTACTATCGATAAGGTAACATAAAAACTGAAGATAGAATTATCTATTTATGCGTTATTGTATAATGTGATTAATTTAAGTAAATTTCAGTATTATTAAAATGCATGCAATTGTGCTATTATAAACTACAAATTATATTCAAATGTACAGATTATTTTCAATAAATTGTTTTATTAGAATAAGACTGCGACATCATTCCGTGCACGATTGAATAAAACTATTTCTATAATCACAGTTGTTACATTTTATATACATAATAAACTACGTATTTTAAATTCTCAGTCAAAATGCTATGAACGCATACTTTGCTCCATTCAGAAATTTAAAAACATCCCAAAATAAATAGTTGCGTGCTCATGGTCCTAACATCATGAACCATAAACTAATTTGAAACCACATGAAAACAAATGAAAGTTCTAATACAAACAACGTTTTAAATGCGATTTTATGCGCTATAAATGATCCCCCAGGTCACCGCGTCAGCTTGATGTTTACATGTCGCCGAAAATGCCGGCGAACGTTTTCCGCAAGTTTTTCATTGTGTCCTCTGAATCCTCAGGAGCGGAGGCTTGCTGCGAGGGCTGACGCTGGCCGAGCGACGGGGCGCGCGGGCCGATGCCGATGCCGTGACCGGGGCCGCCGCCGCCGCCGACGCCGCTGCCAATCGCACCCGAGGCCGAGCTCACGGTTGACGACTGCGAAGCTGAAACAACGCAATGCACAAGGTCAGTGGAAAATATTAGGAAACGTTACTTCTCAATTCAATTTTATTTTGATATTTGCTAATTTTGGCAATCTTTTGCTCATCGCCAGAAAATTCAATTTGCTAATTGTATGCTTTATCGACGTTAGTCATTCCAAATCGTCGTTCTATAACTTCAAAATTGGATAAAATCCACATATTTGGATAGTTAGTGTGTGAACCACAATTTGACTTTTGGTTGATGTTCTCAAAACCGGCTGCACCGATTTCAAATGTTTAAAAGGACTTCGATGAAACTCGATACCCACGTTGATTAGTTTTGCGAGATGATCGGCCGAGTTGTTTCTTTATGAGTAGTGAATATGTGCAGAATTTTTTGCACATGTTTTTGCCAAAAATGCTGAATGAATTTTGAAAATGCAAACATTTTCGAAAGATACCATTTGGAACCCTTTTGGGATTACGTTTTGGTAATGATCGGCGTTTCTTCGTAATTGATTATTGATTTCTTTGAGGACTTTAATGAAATTTTGTATGATGTTTTAATTCAAGGTTTAAATAAAGGCCTAAAATATTGTAAACCCGCGAAAAGTAGTTTCAATATGAAAACTACCAGTATTATATAGAGAAATATCTTCAAGGAATTCCATTGAATTTTTCCTAGTTTACTACATTAAATTTTTGATAGTTTATTTCAAAGCCTTCGATACAAGCACAATATTGAATTGTTGAAATTCCTGTATCCACAATATAGTGGTCGGTATTTGATTTAAAATGTTTATTATATTTTCAATTTTGTTCATAGGAGTCCGATGATCCAAATTCTAAATCATATATATTCTGATGCTAAAATATAGAGTTAAAAAAGCTTGATTAAAAATTATTTTTACAACATTATAGATCAAAGTTTAATATTCACTATGCCATATCAAAATATCGACGTAGTTCTAATTATATGGAAAATAATTCTCTTATATTGTGCATTTGCGAGATTTTATTGCGAACAGTATATATATATATAAACACACACACACACACACACATATATATATATATATATATATCAGAAGTATTTATTTTTAAAATTCCGCGAATATGTATCATATGGAATTCCGATTACGATTACGTGAAACTTCAATAAATATTTGTGCAAAAACACTTTGAAATAAAATATAAGTGCGTCCTTGATATCATGTTTCGAGTTCACTGGAACGCGTTATTGATATTTATCAATTTCTCTTAATTCAACTTTTGGCATATTGAACTGTGCACAATGGCGAATTGCTGGTATCTCGGCCATAAGATGAGGTACAAAGTTGAAAATTGGTATATTTGTTTTTATCATTTAAACCTATAAAATGGCGTATAAATTATTTAAATACCAGGGTGGGGCCGATTCTGTATGGCAATGCGCCCATACCCAAAGGGTTTAGATTGTCTTGTAAAATTGTACTCATAATTCATCATTCAAGATATAAACAATACTTGTTCATTTATTATTTTCGGACAGTGCGTTTAATGACTAAAGAGACTAACTAAACTTGCATTATTTGATAAAATATAATTTTTTCAATTTTTGTTTTAAAATATTGTTGAATTCGGTATTTGAAATTTTTATAAATTATCTAATTGTAAATTATGAAGTAAAGCGATTATTGTATGATCAGGCGAAATATTATTAATATTTACAACTGCTCATTTAGAAATGTTCTAGATAGTCCGTATACAAATATTTGCTTCTTACTTTATTGCCCATATATTAAGAATATTAAGATTGGATTTTTACCACTCGGTTGACCTCGTATATAATTGTCAAAGAAATAAAGATTTAGAATGAATTTTGTCTCATTAGTCATCAGTAGCTGACATTTTATTTTCAAATTGCAAAAAGCAACATCCAAATTATTGTGTTTTGGTCGTCTCAGCGATGATATATGAATTTTTACTATTAGGCAGTAATTTCGAAAAGGAAAATATTTGCAATAAAACACACAGATTTAATTACTTTAATTACTTCAATTTCTGGTTTCAAGTGTGAGGTAAAAATATTTAATTGATCAAAAAATGCTGTACTGATATTCTATTTATTTTCACAGCAGTCAGAATAGGTTTTGCCGTTTACTCTATAATTTGATTCATATTCGAAGCTTTTTCTTTATCAAAAGAAAGTGTGTATATACTATATTATATAATATATTATCAACTAACGACACATGTATAAACATATGTAAGATATCTGGGAAATGAGATACTCTAAATAATTTATTTGTGACAATTTTTTAATATTTCTAATGTTTAAAATATCATTTTTTTATGAACGTACCCCCTTAATATCTTCGTCATACTGTTTCTATTATTATTACCTTGGGAATCTCGCCGTCCCAGTGTCCCCAGCAACGGGTGCGGCGGCGGCGGTTCGCTCGGGGGCTCCGAGCTAATCGACTGGCGGTCCGGGCGATCCGGCACGGGCGGCAAGTGGTCTTCGGTCGGTGATCCGCCTCGGCTAGATACGCTTGATCGCGTGCCTAACGGGACGCCGGTACCGGTTTTGGGTAAAGGCGGTCGGCAAATGTTCTGAAAGTTTCAGATCAGTATTTTAATTTACATTGTTCATTAAGTTTCAGTCGTTTTTGTGAAAAAAAAAATCGTAAAACGTGACACATTCGGTAATTAACTTCCCGTAGGGTAAGTTATAGTAATCGTAAAAAAATCAAAAATGAAAATTTTTATATATCTTTACGTTTCAGAGGTTTCTGAATTTTTGGCATACCTTAGAAAAATGGATGTATGTGTGTTGGTGTGTGTGTGTGTGTATGTATGTATGTATGTATGTATGTATGTATGTATGTATGTATGTATGTATGTATGTACGTGTGTGTATGTATGTGCGGATACAAATTTTCGTCGACGATTTCGGGAACACGGATCAACCGATTTGAATAATTCAAAAAACATTCAATTCGTATTGATAAGGAGACGTGCTGATAGTTTTTGGCGAAGGCAGGTCTAGCCGTTCCGAAGATACGGGGCAAAAAGTGCCGAAAACGGTAACTCAGTTTTTAAGAGAACGGAGCGTTCGATTTGAATAATTCAAAAAACATTTTACTTGTATTGACAAGATGAAGAATCGATAAAATTTTTATGATGGTAGGTCTAGCGGTTTCGGAGATATGGAGGAAAAAGTAAAAAAATGAGCCATTGGTGGTCAAAATAATCATTAGACATATGCACATCAAATTATCAGATATTTTATAGAGATTTTAACAATCAGTATACATTTTGTTAACATTCCTATGGGTTCCGTACCAATGCTTATGCGTTAGACAGCGACGCGGCGCTTACGCGCTTTATATTTTGTCCCTATGCAGTTAAAGCAGTACGATTGCTTTGAAAAAAAAGTTCAGATCTTCCACAATATGTCAAAATAAAGAAAAATTTTTTTTTTCAAAAAAAAAAAAAATAAAAAAAAAATTTAAAAAAAAAAATTTTTTTTTTAAAAAAAAAAGTAATTTTTTGTCCAATTTATAGTTTCTCAAAAATCTTATTTTTTCAAAGTAATTTTTTTTCAAAAATGTTAATCGTTTTTAAAAAAATAATAATTTTTGGTACGGGAAGTTCCAGCAATTTGCCTTAAGGCACGATGCCTTAATTGCCTTAAGACAGAATTCCACTTACAGCTAGTTTTTTTTTATTTTTTCAAAGCCAATCTAAATTTGTAAATAGTATTAACAAGTTCTATCTATTAATATTCTTAATACTATAAATGAAGTATTTTTTGCGAAAAATTTAATACCTCCAGTTTAAGCGTGAGCAATGTTCGTTAACCATTCGTTAGCCACTTTGTTTTCATAGAACTGTTAAATATGAAGTTTTTTGATATTTTTATTTTCTGTAATAGTAATATTTAACAAAAATAGAACTTTAATTTATATAGTTTATTAGCGATGAGTTTCTTATTCGAACATATTTCTTTTTTTTTTTTTGTTTACTATAATTTTGATGTAAAATTTGTAATAAGAGGCCTATTACAGCAACATTTTTTTGGGGTTTGTTTGTAGTTATGAGCAATAAAATGGTCTATGATCAGTGACTTATCATTAATTAAATGGTCTATGAACAAAGTCTATCTGAACATCTAAACTTCTGAACCCGTGTTCTTTATCTCGTGCGTTCCCTATGCCATTACCTGCATCCGCGTGGCAACCAATTCAGCGATCAACCGCCTGTCCTCCTCCTGGCTGTCTCCCATCAGGCTGAGCGCGCAGTCGTTCACTTCTATTATGTGCTCGCGACCGTCTTTACCGGCGACCAACTCGAGGGCACAGATTTCTAAACCTCCGAAGAGATCGGACACCTGGAATATATAATATAATATAATTTGTGTATGTAAATATGTTCTTCTATTCCGAATTTAGCCTTTTTTCAAAGAAAAATAGTAACTTTCCAATTATAACCATCCCTGCCTTGTATAGGTCTTTGCGATGTGCTAATTATCAATATCCTAACTTACCATTTAGGCGAAATATCATTGAAAGTATGCGAAAGTGGTCCTTGTTTTTAAATTTACTTTTTGTCTTAACAATAAACGAGCCGTTTGTATATACCTATTTGTACCAATACCAGTCAAATGACTGGTCTCTAAGAAAACTTACTTATAGTGTTTCTAAGTTGAACAAAACTAATTACAGCTGTTAAATAAACTTATAAATATTGTCAAATAACAAAATATATTAATTTTTAATAGTTTTTACAGTTCTTTAGCACAATACTCAATAAAAGTGTCCGGCAGCACCCACTTGTTTGCGCGTAAAATTACGGCTACCGACGTGTTTTTAAATTTTAATTTCAATGCCATATGAATAATTCTAAAAATAATATCGGTTATTGCATTTATACTTTTCATGGTATATGTTTCAAGAATTTTCATTACTACAAATTCGTTTAGAGGGGTTGATTCTTCGTCTTTCGCTAAATACGGGCAACCATTTACCATATATTTTGTTTCTACATCAGATGTCAGACAGAATTTTTTGTAAATTTATAACGTTTCTTTGGCATTTACTGGCTAAATATGCTTCTGGCCTTCGTTGGAAAATGTTATTCAACCAAAGTGATATGAGCTCCCGGTTTGAAGCAATTTTTGCTATTTTCTATAATTTGTTCCAAACCAGGGCTTTTTTCTATAAATTTGGTCTGAGTATGTCTCTGAAAGCTCTTTGGACTTCTAATCTACCTGCAAAACCTATTTGACTTTACTACAACACTAGTTCAAATAGTTTCGTCCAAACCAATTTTAGTTTCCTGATTTGGTGCATTACTTCCAAATTCGTCTTCAGAATTGGAAGAAAGTGGCTTGCATCATCTGATACGTTTGTTTGTGATATCTATCAATTTAGTAAAGTACTTGATCCATCTGTATTGTCTTTATCACGAAATTTTACCATCTCTACAGTCGATAATAGCACTGCCTTGTGGATTGATTTGTTTATCTAAAAATTCACCGTCACTACCATATATTTCAAATTCTAGATCCGAACATTTCACAGATCCACTGATTGTATTTTCCAAACAAGCTAAAAAAACATTGTTTCCATTCTTTTTTCGAAGACTGACAGTCGCTATAAAAATAAGTCGAAACCATGGCAGTTTTCTCGTTTATAGTTTTTTTTTTACTCAAGAATATATTTTTGAAAATTTCTGTGTCCACATGAATGTTACTTACTTGTATCAGTGTACAAAAAGAATAAATAATTATACTTGAAAATCACATTGAATAAAATTTTATTTAGTGTGTTGAACGAAGTTCGAAACAATTGTATTGTTGGTAAAAATCTAGTAATACTTCAGCAATCTGCATTTTTACACGTAAAAGAGAATAAAGAATAAATAAAATATATTGTTGTCGATAACAGAGTAGGCGATAATCGCATACGATCTATGTCTATTGTTATTTCGGTTCTTTTATTAAACATTTTCTATAGAAACTTGCACCAGTCATTTTGACTGGTGCTGGTACAAGTAGTAGTAAAACAATTTATTTTTGTTACTAATATATATAAAGTAACTTTGAATGCACAAAATTATTTCTATACTTATAACTTAAAAAGTCATAACTTCATTTCACAAAACAAATTTTACATATAATGGGAATTTTGAATTGAAAGTGCCCAACCAGTCATTTTGACTGGCGTGGTATATCTAGTGTTAAAAAAAACCTATAGTAGACTAAACTAGAAATAAAATTTACAGTAGATTAGACTATGTTAGTTATAACAAACAATTTTGAATAATTATTTATTAATGCACGAAAAAGTTAAAATAATTTTTTGTTTTGTATTTTTGGGCAGCGAGATTATTAATTTTTGAAACTGATGGAACGAAGGGTTCTTAACTGTCCCTCAGAACCGTTTGTCCCGTCGTCCCAAAACTGTATTTTCCGCACCTTGTCAGTGCTGTCGCCCCGAAAGCGTAAGTGATCATGATTCTGATACGTTTTGCCAGTGGCGTCAACCAGAGACCGTCCTTCTCTGTCATCACCCGGAAGCGTCCGTCCGTTTTGTCCCGTCTCCCGGAAATAGCGGAACCGACTGTTTCTCCCGTCCGTCCCGTCAGCTCTTAGATTCGCGCCCAAGGGGCTTTTGACGCCACCATTATATAAATGTTTTGTTTTTTTTTTTAAATATAGTCTTACCTCATCTATCCAGTGTTTATAACGTTCCGTCATGCCTAATTGCTCGAGCATGGCGGAGCCCTGGTTGGTTTTCCAGTTTCCAGAAATTGATTTGCGCCTGTAAAAATATATTAACATTACTTTTAAGAATAAGTCAAAATAATAACATTATTAATCAATCATCGGCATCAATCAAGTTAATATTGAATTTATTTTGAAAATTAATATTTTTATCAACTGAACAGAAAGGAAGATTCACGCCTAATCCAATTAAATTAGCCCAATACATTTTGGATGTTGACATTCGAAAAAGACTTAAGAGAACTCATCCACTATTCTTCGTTGTATTACATATTTAGGTTTAATATATTATGATAAAATTATTTCAATTATTCTTGATGTTGATCGTGTAATTTTCTTTCGCTTTAGATTTTCGCCCGAGGCGATTCCTTAGCTATTCCATAGAAACTATAGTCTTATGGCGCAGAAATATTTTCACAACGTATATTTGTCATTTTTTACTTTATAACATGCATATAGGTTCATATTATGTTATAACAAGTATATGTTTATCTTTATCTTGTTTTATAAGCTTTCACGCTAGAAAACGCCCCACGTTTATGGTTGTTCAACGCAATCGTGAGTTCGGAAAACAAAATCGATTGCATCTCTTATATATCATAATTTTTATTTCTGCTTTTGTTACCTATATACCAAAAAAGTAAAGTTTTAGAAAGCATGAAAACTAAACTATGTATGTAGTTTTATGTTATGTAGAACATAAAATGTTTAATAGCTTAATGTGCATTCTACTTTCTCTTTATTTATTTAATGTTTACTTTTTACTACCAAATTGCAGTTACATGCACCTTCGTGTAACCATTAAAACATTCTTGCACATGACATGACAAGATCAGCATCTTCTATAAATAGGACAAGCTCTACTTTTTCAACGGGATTCGCTAATTAAAGTTCATAGGAGACAAGATTTATTTCATATTTGTAAAACAATTTTGCCTTCATTAAATATTTTAGTTAGTCATGTATGAATTGAACTTTTTCTTATTTATATATGAACTAAATATTGTAATATTTAAAAAAAATCATTATATTAAACTTTTGCAGTTCGACGATTTACAATCATTTATTATTGTGATTTATTTATTTATGTGAATAATTCGTGCCGTGTAGTTTTTTTTAAATATTTTCTATTATATATATATATATATATATATATATATATATATATCACGTTTTATGATTGTTCGGTTTGTGATTTCATCAATGAGGTGTCCTTTTATAAATGTAATAAACTCACCCCAAAACGTGACAAAATTGGTTAGAATGGGCTTTACATAGCTTTTTTATCATTCCCAAAACGAATATTTAAATGATTGTATGAAAACTACTGTATAAAAAGTGTGAGAATAAATTATAAAAGAAATAAAAAAAATATTAGGTTTCTTTGCATCTTAAAAATATCTGATGTTTTATACATACCTTTGAAACAATTTATGTGTGTATGCTACGAACGTCCTTTTTTATAATGTCATTTATTTTTTGTGAAACGATTTACTCGTATATAAATATTGATTTCGCAAATAGTCTTCTTTCAATTTTATTATCTTTGTGTAAGTGAAAAATCAGAAGTGTGTTCAATTATTTTTTGTAATTGTTGTTTTTGAGAAATCTATAATTTATGGCAAAGTGAGTTATAAATTGGCATGATATCAAAACTGCAATGAAAATCTTAGACGTACGTAGAGTTATGAGTATTTATAAGTTGAAATAATTTATATTTCTGAAACTGACTTATATATTTATTTAACCTTGAAGTTATAGCGATATGGTCTTGAAATATTAACTGGATCATTTTTCTGATATATTTTGTTGTCAATATGACTAATCTCATCTTTGAATATATAAATTCGTGCCAAACAAAATCAATGCTTCTCTAAAAAAACGCTATGCTAATTTTCAACTTTTTACATTATCATTTGGCGAGATATATTTTTTCAAACCCACTCTTGTCGTAATTCAAAAGATAACTTTAAGTAAAATTATTTACTTCAAAAAATGATATACATTTATATATGTATGTATATATTAATATATTCAATTTATTATTGTTATATTAGTATATATTAGTCATTATTTTTTCTGTACTGAAAGCCTAATTTTTTTTGTTAAAATAAAATATTCATTTAGATTTTCATTAATAAATTAGTTCTACGTTGCTGGAATATGAAGTGTATCCCCTTCTTCGGGAACTGTTTTATTTAAAAAATTATAAAATAGACTTTTTAATTATAATTTATTAGAATATTGAAAGATATAATTTTTTGCCTTTGAAGTTTTTTAATTAATAGTGTTTGTTTCAAACTTTTTAACGCTACAAGGGTGTTAACTTCCCTTAATAAATATATATCTATGCACGGCAATGGAAAGCCTCTCATTCTAAAATTTCCTGAAATTTAGTTGGATATTGACTGATTACTTACGTATAATGAATGAAGAGCGTACTATTGACTTACATAAATGCCTTATAGTTGTTTCCGATTTTCTGAATGTGTACATCGAATTTGGCATCGATGTAGGGCTCGACGGTGCAGTATGTGTTCGCCAGGGCGACCACGCCGGCGACGTCGCTGAAATCGCTCAGGTTGTCCACGCGGATTTTGGCCATTCCGCCGTGGGCATGGCCCAGCTTCAGCACTACAGGGAAACGGGATGAAGTCAACTGAAAAATAAATGAAAAAAGAAAATGATAAACTGTTAAAGGACGATTATCGAAATTCGTATCGCTATATTATTGGTATATACTTTATTACATCTTACAGTACCGTCATTATTCATAATAACCGTAAATCTAATTTTTTACTTTCCGAAGGAGGAGTGATTATTTGTTGAAATATTGTATAATATTTGAACTTAATATTAAAAATGGCTTAATTACAAATGGTCATCAAAGGGCTAATTCAATTATGTGTTTGCAATTTTAAAAGTTGCTGCATCTCTCACTTCTTATTGGTTAAATCGATTATTTATACGTATTGTGAAGATTTTTATTATTTCAACTTTAATCATTTTATTTGTTAATACTATATTCATCATGATAATAATCATTCACTTTTGTATTGATATTGCTTTTATTTTTACAGCACCCAATATTCGCCTCGTTAGTCATTTCAATAATTTCCAGTTATTGATATTAATTAAAGTTCAAATCATTTCATTATCATCATAATGGAATGATTTGTATTGTTTTTATATTTTTAACTTCCTGTAGGGTAAGTTATCGCAATCGCTAAAAAATCACGAAAATTAACCAATTTTCGCGAAAGCAAGTCGACTTACGAGGCAGCCATTATGAACTCATCAGGCAGTCATTAATTTCAATTGTGATATTCATCAATTAATTGAGTAGTTTATTTTGTGTAATATTTATATATATATATATATATATATATATATCCTAGATAGATCGAAATCATTCGAGGACACAAACAAATCGTTGCACACGTGCTTGCCAATAGTCAAAATGCAGCAGTTTGTATTTCAGTTATAACAATTTTAGCACGAATCGGCGCTTTATATACATTATATATGTATGATGTATGAGCATGCAATCTATTTACGATTTCCGATGAAAATTATTTCATAAAATAGCGCAGTCGAGTCATAGAGCACTTGAAATAAACGTTTTAATCATCGACGGTAAATATACAATGGTTCATATATATACACACACACACACATATATATATATATATATATATATATATATATATATATATAGATATGTGTGTGTGTGTGTATAAATAACGAATTTCTCCGAACGATGAAGAAACAACTGTTGCAATTTTTATTATTATTTGCATCGTCAGCTATCAACTATTAAAGGTGCAATGCCATCGACGATTTTTCCACGAGAGTATCTGCTGTCTCTGTGCAATAGTATGGCCTTTATGTAGGACAACTGACAATGGATTTTATTCTACCTATACACAATACTACCTGAATGATGCCTTTAAAATGAAAAATCAAATATTTATGCTTGGAGCAGATAACACTTAATCATCTAAAATAAACCACAATCTAAAATGAAAACATTAAATCTATTAATTATTATAATTAACCATCAGCAAGTGAATTGAAGATGTAATGCGCCATTGACATATATTTTATTTTATGAATGATATATATTTTTTATTTTATTATGAATTATTGTTATGAGCTTTGAATTACTTTATGAGCTGTTGTGATGTAATTTCTAATAACCTAGAATTATTAGAAGAAACTGAGTGGTTGTCCGCTTTCTGTGGCCAGTTCATTATTAGGCATATTTCTAATAGTGATGTGTGACATATATATATATATATATATATATATATATATATATCTGTGAGGCTATTTTTACTTGAAATCATATTTTTATTTATCAATTATAGCTAAAAATGTTTCCGATTGAAAATGCCCCTTCATGAAAATGCTGTATTAGTTAAAATAGATCATCATTACTAGAAAAATTCTTTTAAAACTATATCCCTTTTGCAAAAAATCAATGCAGTTAAGAAGTATCATCACAACAGCTCATAGGATTCTTAAGTTGTGATTGCTGTTCAATATAGTTGTTTACAAAAACACCTGAGGCTATAAATCCAGTTCTAGATGTATCTCTGTATATCCAAATGCGTTTGTTCAGTGGGTGGCCAGTCATATTTCAAAAATAATCAATTCATAGCAAATATATATGTTCAGTGACAGGAATGAAAACAGTCTAGACTCTGGACCGATGATGATATAATTTGTGACGCGAAATGACGCTCGCTCCCGGAAAGCTACCAACGCGTTTACGAATGAATATTTGCTATAAAAATACTTTTGCCGGCTTTAAATTCAACACTTTATGTGCAGATGTCAAATCATTTTCAAAATAGAATTCAATTCATTATTTTGAATTTCTTTCATGAGGTCTTCATCTCCTTCCTGTCGAAATGCAATTAAATTTTGATTGTTATGCATAAATTATTATATGCTGATTTGTTTGGGTTCAGAAATGTTTTGCCTTGGCGATTGATTTTTATTGATTTTTTTAAAGATATATGCTCACAGAAATACAATATAATCATAAATTAGATAAAATTCATATAAAAGTTATTCGCTTATGAATAAAATAATTATATGAAGGTAAAAATGATTACTCTAAATGATTGTTGCTTTTACATCTTGATATTTAGATTATTTTATTTATTCACATGCTAAAATTTCGGTATCCTCTAGAAATATAAACTTTCATCTGACTTTGATTATTTTCCAATGTGACTTACTTTTATCAAAAATCAACTTCATGCTATTTGACATCAAACTTTGAAGTCCATCGCGAACAGTCAAAAAAAACTAACGCTCACAAAATGTGTAAAAATGTCTACTTTTGTCAATGTTTATATTTTTTTATCGTTTTATTCCATAAATGATATGAAATTTAATTTCTATACCAAACTGAATTCTGGTGAACGTATTTTTAAAATCCTTTTCGGAATGATAAAAGCAAAAGATTTTGGACTAATTGTTTAGGAAAGACTGACGTGCCAGTCATTCTTTGTGTCTGGAAGCAAATATTTGAAAATATAATAATGTTGTTTTTTAGAGTTTAATCTCATTTGAGATGCTATTGATTTTCTTTTGTCAATTTAATGTTTACATTAACGTTTCGAATCTTGAGCAGTGGCACCAGTGGATGGTATATTTTAAATTCTATCCTCGATTCGAATTCTGTAGGTTAAAATAACAAATCTATAAAAAAGGCAATTTATATTTTATGACTGCGATCTGAAATAATATATATGAATATAGATATTTATAACTTAAAAGTTGCAAACGGTTTTATCGCTTTTAAAAAAATTGTTGAAAGAAAGAGATCAGTCTCACTAACACTTGGACCTGTTTTATCGAAGCTTTGTTATTTAGTACTATTTTTCAATAAACTTTTTTAGCAATCAGAATTTTGTATATACTATGGGCTGTTGTAATGTGATTCCTTAAACCTATTGTTTATTAGATTGCAACCACGAGGTTGACCATTTTCTATCTGATGAGATTTCTTATATAATTTTTTGTCTATTACTAATTGGATATATGATTCAACAATGCCCTTGAAAAGCTGTTTTCACTTGCTATCATATTTTAACTCGCTCATGCGAAAATCTGTTCTATTACTACTCCTTGTTGATATCAAGATGGTCGATATGGGTATCGAACCTCGAACCTGTGGTTACTAGACCACGTTCTTGCCGCGAAACCACGACCTTTTTGCGTTTACTGGCAGCTGTAAAAATTAAATCTGCGACTCGGTATTTTACTAATTGAAAAATATTCTATAAACTTTAGTTGTTTCTGCGACTGATTGGATGGAAAATTTGCACTCGTCGTTCGCATGCCGTTCGCCGAACTCCATTGAGTTCTCTGTACAAAATTTTTGCCCATTCATTTCTATGAACTCACACTCCCCGGATTACAATAGCTTTTTTCTTTTTGAGAACTGCTTCAACAAATTAACATGAATATTATATATATATATATATATATATATATATATATATATATATATGATGATAGTTTTGTCGACGTTGATACATATTTGTAATATTTTTGCAGCCCAACCGTCGAATTAAAAAAAGATAAATTATAAAAGATTAAATATTATAAAAGATAATATTATAAAAGATTAAATATATATATATATATATATATATATATATATATATATTAACCTTGATCAGTGTCCATAATGCTCCAAAACAATATAGGAGGGCAATATGTGCTCCTTCAATTTCTCGTTGTTAATATAATAGTATATTATTATTTTACACAAATTTAGTGTTCAATCAATTTTACATCATCATTAATTTTTTCTGTTGTTTTTCCTCGTTTGGTATGTACAATTTTCTCCTTTTTATATATTTATATTTATTACCAACTTAGTATTTATGTAATAAGTTTTTTAGATTACTGAATGATGACACACATCAAGTGTCGGAACGTTTAATGGAATAAATAATTTTGTTATTTAATCTTTTTTTTAATTCGACGATTGGGTTTTAAAAATATTACATACATATGTATATTGTGAAGTTGAAAAAGTTTCATTTTAATATTAGCTTTACCGAACCAGAGATCGCCGAAGAAATTCTTTTGAATCACTTACTAACTTAACATATTAATATTTACTTATTAACTAACTAAGTCATATGCAATTGTCTGTAGGGATTTGTAGCTATATAAATGAAACAGGACTAATTTTGTAACTAAAATCTATTTAGTACGTTAGTCAAATATGAACATAAACTCTGGTAACAAACTCTTCTAACTAATTTCAATCATCATAAGAAAAATAAATTTGCTTTCACACACATATACTATTAATTAGTGTTAATTATTGTGTTTATTCACAATCGTTATTCTATATATTCGATTCACAAATGTTAATTTACTATTGAAGGCGATCGAAGACTATCGATCAAGGTGAACAATATAAATTGAAAAAAAACGATATAATTATGATTTGCTTACCATTTCCAAATAACTTTTACCTTTTTTATTTATTTATTCAAATTACGTTAATTAAATTAATTTCTGTGTGCGTATTATTCTTGAAATAAAAACAACAACAATCTTGTAATTATATGCAGAGGACCCAAGGCTTTGAATATTATTTAAAGTTTCTATTTGATTTGAAAATTCGATTTAAACTGTTTGATAAGTTTTTGTTAAATTCGTTAGGTTCGTTATTTTTTATGTTGAGATAATTAGATATCGTAATGCTACTCTACGCAAAATAAATATGTAT